CTTATTCCCCATTAACTCCAATTGATTCTCCATTGACTCTGGTTTGAATCACTCTTCAACACCATTAACTCCAGCTTTGAATCACTCTTCAACAATTTTCAAAAACCTACCAAGACAAACATGAAGCAAAGCAATACCGTCACAGGTAGAAGATTTTCAATTCTTGAGCCATCTTGGCATCTTCATGTTCATCATCACTATGATAACATAAAATCACTCTTCTATTGAAATCAAGATAATACGAATCAATGTTCGATACAAACATGAATTCGTCTTCTTATCTTTGATAGATTCTTGTAAACAGAACCAAATCTACAAAGAATAAGGATAAAACTATGAACAACAACAAATCTATTTTTTCATGAATCTCTAAAATGAGCTAAAGCTCGTGTATATATCTGTAGACTTCTTCTTCTTCTAATCTCCACCGTCCATTTCTTCTTTATTATCCTTTATTCACATCCCTCCACGTGTCTTCTTCCTTCCCTATGACAGACTATCACTGTCTGAATCCGACAGGTTTTTTCTTGATCCCACTCTTTTAAGTATTCCATATGAGAAACATCATCACTTGGAGCAACAACTTTCTTCTTTCTAGTCTTTTCAGTGACCTTCTCTTTGCTGATTACTTCCACGATAGGAGGAATTGACAATTTGCATTGATTGATTAAAAAAAAACCTAAAAGAAATAATTGTTTTTTGGAACCCAATACTTACATTTTTAGGGTGTGATAACTATAGGCTTCCACCTCGAAATTAGGGTTTCTAAGAGAAGAAAAAGTAGAAGACTATATGGTTTTTTACTTTATTTTATTAATAAAGTATATTAAAATGAAGTTAAGAATGTTTTAATTTTTGTTTTTTCGTACACAATACTTACATTCTTTGGGTGTGATTATAACTGTAAACTTCCACCTCAAAATTACAGTTGTTGGCGAGGAATCAAATTGTTGAGTTAGTGATCCATACGTATTATCACGGGTGTTTAAGACATATTTCAAGAAAAAAAAGATGCAAAATGTAAATGTTTCTTTTCACGATGAGATGATAAATAAATCAAAAACATCGAGAAAAAAAAACCAACAAATACCAGAGAGCTTATAGTAACAAAATGCAAATGCATTGATCTGCCTTGACTCGAATCAAAATGATTTGGAAAGCTCAAATCAAAATGGACATTACAAAGGAGTAAAAGAATGCTGAAACATTGCTTTTAAAACACNATTGTCCTAATCAGGTTTTACCAAGCAAAAGAGAAGAAAACCTTTTTCAGCTTTAAATCAAACGGACAAGAACAAGAAGTAATAAGCACTATGAAACACTGCTCAAATTACGTAAAACAGCTTTGGACTAATCTAACTGTGCAAAACATTTCTGACTTAGAAGATTGATCTAACAATAGAAAATTTAACCTGATGATAAGATGCAACCAGTCAAAAGTAACAGATAAATTAACAATGGATGAAGCTAAGTACAGAGCAAACCTTCAACCATGAATAATCACACAAGTTACTTATAAATACCATCGTCAATACAAACTATGGAGGGATGTGTGCTATTCTGCTATTCTCGTAACCTTCACTCTGCTTTCATCAAGAACTGTCTGGCTTTTCCTTTTCTTTGATTTATCGTTTTCTTGGTCCATATACTTAGCAGCAGAACGAGCCCGGATCGCTTTCATGCTATTGTCATCATTGGCCCACTCAAGCACCTGCAAATGGAAAGTTTGAGAATTGCATCAAAAGAATGTCAAATTAGTAGGCTTGAGTGAGAGACAAGAGTACAACATAAGACTTACCAAACGGCGTCCATAGAAATGTGTGCTTGACAATGCCTTTTTCGCGTTAGTAGCTTCTTGCATTGTCATGAACTCAACAAAAGCATAACCTGTTGACTGATTGATATTCCTCTTTNGCATCCTAAGACCCTTGATCTGCATAATACCAGAATCATTAACTTTCTTTGATGTTTGCATCACAACTTCTATTTTGATCCAATACAATAGGAGCTAAGGTTTCATCCCCTTTTAGTTCTTCTAACGAAAACAATCTTAAACGAAACACGCAAAAAGACCAAAACTTCAGCAACTGCACTATTACCTGTCCAAATGGACTGAAAAGCTGTCTTAGTTCCTTCTTGGTTGCCTCAAAAGCTACATTTTTCACATGTAACTTTGTACAAGGATTATCCTTGTCTGAACCTTTCCCAGCCATGCCACTCCACTTGTTTTCACAGGTTCTCANGATCCGCTTGCTTTCACAGAATCTCAAGATCAATGCATGTCCATCCAGAACAGATCCCTGC